CCAAAGGAATTCCTTCTTTTCTTTTTCGAGACAGAGTCTCAAGCTGGAATGCAGTGTTGCAGTCATAGCTCGGTGCAGCCTCAAACTCCTGGGTTCAAGCAGTCTTCCCACCTCAACCTCCTGAATAGTGGGGATTACAGGCATGAGCCACTGTACCTGGCTTACGTTCTTTATCTTTTTCTACATTGGCTTACTTTTCTAAGATAGGTATATTAATGTGGATACAATAATATGGAATAAAACAATTACTTTTAGTTTAAGAAATGGTAGTTTCCATTATTGATACATATATAGGATAGGCATATTTCTGATAGTTTTCTTTATATATTCTGGATATTAACTTCTTTACCAGATATTTCTTACCAGATATAGGATTTGTACGTATTTTCTCCTATAAGTTGCTTTTTCACTTTGTTGATTGTGTTCTTTTTTGAACAAAAAAAATTTTTTGTTTATTTTGTGATAGGGTCTTGCTGTGTTGCCCACACTGGAATGCAGTGGTAATCATAGCTCACTGCAGCCTTGAACTCCTGGGCCCAAGTAATCCTCCCAGCTCTGCCTCCCGAGTAGATGGGGCTACCGGCACATGCCACCACACCAGCTGACTTTTGTATTTTTTGTAGAGGCAGAATGTTGCTATGTTGCCCTGGTCTTGAACTGGTCTTGAACTCCTGGAATCAAACAACCCTCCCACTTTGGCCTCCCAAAGTATTGGGATTGTTCAGGAGCCTCTGCACCCAGCCAAAATTTTGAAATTTGCTTGCAGTCTCATCTCTCTGTTTTTGCTTTTGTTACCTATACTTTTGGGGTTATATCCAAGAAATCACTGCCAAATCCAGTGTCACGGATTTGTTAATAATTCTGTGAGATTAATTAAAATTAGAGGATTAAAATAGGAAATACAATTCAGAAGCATCATGTTAACAATTTTAACCTATGAACAATGAAGTAGAAATATAGTAGACATAAAAAGCATAAACTAGTTGATATTTGATGAAATAACAAATGTAAAATTATCAGTAATATACTTTTTGTAGAATTATTAGAATGTGGTAACTTTTTGAAAGCCCAGGCCAGGTACAGTGGATCATACCTGTAATCCTAGCAGCTTGGAAGGCTGAGTCAGGCAAATTGCTTGTGCTCAGGAGTTTGAGACAAGCCTGGGCAACATGGCAAAACCCAGTCCCTATAAAGAATACAAAAAATTAGCTAAGTGTCCTGGCACTTACCTGTAATCTCAGTTACTTAGGAGGCTGAGGTGGGAGAATTGCATGAGCCCAGGATGTCAAGGCTGCAGTGAGCCAAGATTGTGCCTCTATACTCTAGCCTGGGCAACAGAGTGAAACTTCGTCTCAAAAAAAAAAAAAAAGTTTGGTGTATAATGTTAGAGGATAGTTTTCAATATTAGTCAAGCTTACAGCTTAGAACACAATTTTAGTAGTTAAAGAGATAATAAGCTGGGTGATTTGGCTCATCCTTGTGATACCAGCACTTTGGGAGACCAAAGCGGGCAGATTACCTGAGGTTGGGAGTTTGAGACCAGCCTGGCCAACATGGTAAAACCCTGTCTCTATTAAAAATACAAAAAGTAATCCTAGCTACTTCGAAAGCTGAGGCAGGAGAATCACTTGAACCCAGGATGCAGAAGTTGCAGTGAGCTAAGATCACGCCACTGCACTTTAGCCTGGGTTACAGAGCAAGATTCCATCTCAAAAAACAACAGAAAAAAGAGATTATAGACTTTGTTCCCTGGAGACATAGCTTTCCACATAATTATAGATATTGGTTGAATTAATTACCTCAGTATTAAATCTGTGATCTACTCTCATATTTTTGGAGGGAGGAGTGTGATGAATCTTACTGCCTTTTGTCTTGCCACAGCCAGGTTTTGAATGCCTAGTACCTTTTTAAAAAAAAAAAAAAATCTGAGGGTCTGTTGCTTTTAATCACTTCCCAGGTACTGTGTGTTAGGACTTATTTGATTGCAAGAAAGTTTTAACAGGGTATTGAATCCAAATGTAACACAGAGGACCCTTGTACATGAGGGGTACAACCAACTTACTCCAGTTCATCCCCAGAGCATGAATGCTTAACTGCTTTATGTCAACCTGCACATAGTATTAGGAAGCCCTAAAGTTCTAGTCTTTTGCTTTCCAAGATGCCAAGATGTCTGTTCTTTTTTTTTTTTTTTTTTTTTTTTTTTTTTTTT